AAGAAAATTGAAGAAATTCAATTCTGCCCTCCTGTGTAAATGGCTTTGGAGATTTGCAAATGAAAGAAATGCTTGGTGGAGAAAGCTGATTGTGGACAAATAYRGRGTGGAYTRGGGTGATTGGAGATCCAATTCTCCTATTTCAAGAGGGATAAGTTCCATTTGGACAGGTATAATGAAGAACGCTAGTTTATTTGAGGAAGGAATCAGTTACAACTTGGGAAATGGGGAAATAATCAAATTTTGGAAAGACTCTTGGTGTTCTGAAGTGTGTCTGAAAGATGCCTTTCCTCTCTTGTATCAAATTTCTGTAAATCAGGACTCCTCGGTGGCTGAGAATTTCAATGTGGACGGTTACTCTTTCAGTTGGAACCTAACTTGTAGGAGGCGCCTCTTTGACTGGGAAATTGAGGAGTATGCAATTCTGTTGGGCCTGCTCCAGAACCAAAGGGTTGACCCAAACATGGAGGATGCTTGGAGATGGAAATGGGAAGCTGATGGCTTTTTGGTTAGGCAGATTTGGAGCTCATTCAGTCCTTCTAAAGTGAAGCTTTTGCTCTGGACAATGGTTTTAAATAAATGTCTATCCAAAGTTAATCTAGTGAAACGTGGCATTCAGATTTCGGATATGTCATGTGGTGGTGGGGTAGTAGAAACTACTGAACATCTGGCCTTACATTGCCCTGTCTCGAATTATATTTGGAGGCATTTTCTCCAAGCTTTGGAAATCAGCTGGGTAATGCCAATTTCTGTGAAGGATCTGCTGTTGTGTTGGCAGCTGAGGGTCTCAGCAAGAAAGGTATCTTGGTTTGGAAGACTATCCCGGCTGCTGTGCTTTGGACTATCTRGATTGAAAGAAATAACAGAATTTTTCAGGGCAAAGCTAAATCTTCAGAGGAAATGGTGCAGATAGCTGTGGGTAAACTTCTGTCCTGGGTGTCGGTATCTGAGTTGTTTAAAAATCAGAATTTGAGTCTGTTGTTTAGATCTCAGAACTGGTTGTATGGAAGCTCTTTGCATTTTAGTGTGAGATGTAGCAGATTTCGAGAGGTCGTTGAGAGGAAAATATCTGATCTAAGTTTATTCGTGGTTTGGGGGGATTAGTAAAAAAACCAGAGAATGGGTAGGTTAATAGCAGTAGCAGTAGAGGTGGGGCAAGACATGGTAGAGCACTTGGCCATTGAGGATTTTTTTGGTTGTCCTGGGAGTGGGCTTGGGAGGTGGTTTGGATGGCTACTTTGCTGTGTCAGTCTACTGTTGATTGCGATTTTTCTTTAGTTTGCTACAATGCTTTGGGTCTTGTCCGTTTTATCTTTTAGTTGTTTTGTCTGAAATTTCATCAGTTATGGGCATGAGGTTGGTCTTATTATAATACATATACACATAATGCATAGGAGGAGCAGGGTTTGTTTTTCCTTTGCTTCTCTTTGTTTCTTATTTGTCTATTCTCCTTTCTTTGATAATAATTGAAAATTTTAATTAGAAGAAAAAAAATTACGTTCAACTGGTGGAGATAATTCACCATGTACAAAATAACAACATTGTGATGTTACAAACTTACAATCAGAAAAATACAAAAACAAGAAACTATATGCCACCATTAACCAAATCTAATGTTGTCCATAAATTTGAACAAAGTGCCTATCTGCTAATATCTTTTTCTACTAGTCTCATTTTCTCTATTTTCTGTCTTCTTTGTCCTTTGAAGGCTAGATCTGCAAAACCTGTTACACCTTGTATTACACTTCTTTCTTAAATGAATTTTATATAACAATGAAATGAAAAATCACCTGATTTGGCACATGATGGTCCTATTCCAATTTTCCTGGTGCTGATTGATTGTGTACTGCTTCATATATTCCAATTTTGAAGGTTTCTTCATTTACTGACAACCATTGTTTCACCAATCTGCTTGATGTTAATTGTAGATTCAGCATTTTGTTGATTTAAGAAGTTATGTTCCTGATTTAAGAAGTTAATTGAAGGTTTCATTAGAATGATGCAGTGCTTTCTATACTGTTTCAGCTGCTTTCCCCCTCTACCACTTTTCATGATCAGCAGTATTTTGGTCTCTGTTTTGAAGATAAATGTTGGATAAATCATGGTAGCTGTTGCCATTCTTTCTAGTTACTTATAAAATCTTATTTGTTATTGCAGGGAGAGAGAAAATTTTCTGTTCTCATTGGCATCTCTATTGTTTTCATGCTTCATGTGGTTGGTGTTTACTGGTGGTACCGGAATGATGATCTTCTATATCCATTAGTCATGCTTCCTCCAAAGGCAATACCACCTTTCTGGCATGCTATATTTATCATCATGGTGAATGGTATTGACTTAACCATCTGAATTTTATTATGTCTACATGTTTCATATCTCTATTGGTTCATTTCTTGTTGTAGTAAATAATAACTAATAATGGTGGAACGGGATACAGAAGATCTAATATTCAACATTGTAGGTCAGTTAAGCTTAAAGTTATAACATGGAAGGAAAAAAATTGTTAAGTTCATGTTCATCACTTTACTTGCCACCAGATGGCTTGATCATGTGATCTAGGCATGAATTTTGCAAATTATGGCCAATTTACAGACAACCAATGAATCTGTGATCTAGGGATTTGTTTTTTGTTCTTTGGAGAGGACGCAGCTCTTGCCTCTTCATGGGAAGTTTGCATTAGAAGTTGTTTCTTTATTAGGAATTCATGTCAAAGTTGTATTTGGTGAAGAAGTCAATTTTTAGAAGCTTCTTTAGGAGTTCTAGTCAATTTTGAACTCAGACCAACCATGAGTATGAGTTAGAGTCTTGAAATTAGGGAAAATAAATCTGTACAAGTTCTACATTACTGCTATAGAGGAGGAGGGCGACAATTAGACCAATGTTTTCCCGATGGCTTAGTTCTTTTTGTTGTTGATGCCAAATTTTCTGATGGTGCTGATTGCCTCAAGGAGCTATCAGGTGCTGATTCCTAATAGCTCCTCTAGACGTTCATTTGTACAAAAAGCCTAGGTGTTGATCCTAGGTTGTCTTTCTTCCTTTTTGTTAGATCAGAAAATGTTATTTTATTAAATCGTGAAAGTGGATTAGTACACTTTGATAACAAGAGTGTACTCCCCACATAAACTAAAGTAAATTGCAAAGATGCCCAATAAAATTGCTGTTTTGTGACCCCTTGTTTTGCTAGGGCATAAACCAGCCCATTTGCACTCCTTCTAACCCGCTTGAAATCAGCATTCAAGTCCTTTGCTAGCCTTTCAACTTGAAAATATGTTTGAGAGTCCAAGGAATTTGTCTTTTCTTTTCTTTTATCAGCAACACAGAAAAAAATTCATTAATTATGAGAGAAACATGATTACAACAAGAAGTTGTGAAAGGAACCAGCTATAGAAGCTGTCCCAAATCAGTACTACATTTGAGCCCAAAACATATGTGTTCTATGTACCCCTTGCTTGGCTAAGCTATCTGCCAAGCTATTAACAGTCCTCACCCATTTCACTCGGATTAACATGTCCTGTGACAGCCATTTGAATTTTCTGAATTCATTCCTCAAATGCCATGCCACCCCTTCCCCTCTAACCAGCCACTTAACCACAGTTTTAGAATCTCCCTCAATAATTAGCCTTCTAATACCTAGTTCTTTTGCCTTCTCAACCCCAAAAACTGCAGCCGAGAACTCTGATCTTGCCACATCACCCTGCTCCACAGGGACAGAGCATAAAGCAATTATGTTCCCCTCTTCATCCCTAATGACTCCCCCAATACATGAGGGCCATGAGTTACCCAAACAGCTCCCATCAAAATTTAGTTTCTTCAACCATTTATTGGAGGAGACCAAACCTCAACGGATCTTTGTCTTGTAGTTGAGGATGCCGCAATGGTACCCCAAGCTCTGAAGAAATCTTCAATCTTGAAATCCGAATACAACTTCAAACTTTTTGCCCAATGAGCTACCCTCAATGTTATAGATTCAACCAAGTCTTCCTTGCTTTGTTCCTTCTCTTCAAATATTCTTGCATTTCTTTCCTCCCACACAGTCCAAATTAGTGCTGCTCTAGTGCTTCTCCACAAGGTCCTACCCCTCTTTTTTGTACAACTAATGCTAGTAGGGCTAAACAAACCCTCCAACCTATCAGGAGAAGACCACCTGCATCCAAAGAGAGAAGTAAACCAATCCCAAAGAAAGGTAATAAATGGGCAGGAGATAAGATGAATCACGGTCTCACCATTCAACTTGCAAAGAACACACTAGTTGGGGGACAAACACCAGTTTAGTCTCTTCCTTTGAAGTTAACCAAATGTATTAATGCTTCCATGAAACACTTCTCAGCAGAAGGCACTAATTTTAGGGGGAATAGGAGAACACCAGACTTCCTTGACTGGGGAAGAATAGGACGAAGAGGTGGCAACCAGAGAATGAGAGGACTTGCAAGAGAAATCTCCAACAGAATTAGGTCCCCATATTCTAGAATCCGAGCCACGTTCACACAAGAAAACTGAATTCAACAAGCTCAAAAGATCAGTCATCATAGAAAATTCAGATTCTCTAAGGTTTCTAATGAAGCCAAAATTCCAATCCAATCCTGTGGAGAAGTGATGCTGAGTAAGAAAGTCATAAATGGGCCTACCCTTAAACCTAGAAATATCAAAGAGAGAAGGGAATTTGATACCCAGAGGGGTATCCCCAATCCACACATCCTCCCAAAACCTGATTTTTTTACTAGAGGCCAAGTCATACCTGATATGATGTAAGAAGGTAGGAAGAAGATCATGGATGGCCATCCATGAGGTAGCCAAGGTAGCTCTACGAAGACATCCTACATCCCACCCATTGCTTGATATGCCATGAATACTTGCCACAACCTTGTGCCATAACTTCTCATTTTCATTAGGAAACCTCCATAACCATTTGCTGAGTAAAGCTTGATTCTTCATCTTAACATTACCTTTTCCAAGCCAACTTCTGATTTCAATTTCACCACTTTTCCCATTTGACCAAGTGGTCATTTTTTCCCCCGGCTCCTAGAGATGTAATTCCTCTTGTGGCATCCTAGAGTTGTAATCCCTCATAAGTTTTTCAATTTTCTTCACTACCTCCTGTGGCATCCTAAACACTGACATGTAGTACACTGGAACCCCACCCATTGAGATGTGATTCCTCTTCCACCTAGCTAATCTCTTGTCAACCCTTTCCACCATTAGGGCCCAAAAACTAGCTGATCTAGGGTTATCTTCTACAGGTAAGCCTAAGTATTTCATAGGCCACTCACCTTTCTCACAACCTAAGAAGTCTGCCAATCAAGAGTTCCTCATTGATATTGATTCCAACCAGGGTTCAAAGTATCGGAAAGGCAATTTTAAGATACGTATCGGGATATGCCTTGGATACGCATGCGTATTGAAGAAAAACTAAGATGCGCATAGATACGCTTGGAAACACTATAAATACTTTAATAAATTCTTAAAAATACATCAACAACACCAAATATAAGACCTCAATGAGGTATATATGCATTAAATTAATATATTTTAATGGTTTTATGAAGAAATATATTATAGCTAATTATAATTTCATTAAAAATCCTATGCTTAACTATAATTTATAAATTATAATTCTTAATTTTTAATGTTTTATGGGATGAGAAAAACCCAACTCTCTAATCCAACCATAAAACATGCATGGGCACAACTTTTATGTGAAAATATAATAATAATAATTATTTATTGTTTAAATAATTATTTATTTATTCATTTCCAAAAATTATAAAAAATAAATAAACATTATATAATATATTCAAAAAATAGTTATTAAAGAAGAAATTTCAATTGTAGATATGATAGATCATCCATAAAATTATAATATATTCAATCATTGTGATCAAATGATAAAATATAATTAACTAATTAATTATTTTTTAATTCTAAAAAATAAAAAATAATTATTAAAGAAGAAATTTCAATTGGTCTATGGATATGATAAATCATCCATAAAATTATAATATATTCAATTGTTATGATCAAATGATAAAATATAATTAATTATTATTTATTTTTTAATTCTAACAATATAAAAAATAAAAAAATATTAAAGAAGAAATTTCAATTGCTCTATGGATATGATAGATAAATCCATAGATCTAAAACATATTTAGTCTTTATAGGCAAAGAAAAAACTTACATTTTCAAAATTTTTGTTAATTTATATTTTCCCCAAATATCTTCATGAAATTTCCATAAATCTATTGATAGCACAAAAAACTGTGATTTTGAATTTAAGAAATGTAGATCAACATAAATTTAAACATTCAAGAAAAAAAAAGAAATCACAAGATATTATAAAAGATTGAAAAAATTTACCTATTTTTGCCATATGTTTTCAAAATTTGAAAAATCTTTAAAAAAATTAACGATTCACACTTGTTTCTTGCAAAATTTTGCAAATCTAGCACTTTAGGAATGAAGTTTGGAGTTTTAGAGTCATTTGGGGGGGTGAAAGAAGGCTTATTTCGGGGAAAAGAAGCTTGTTTCCCCCCTTAAAAGGTACGATACGATACGATACACCCCGTATCGGGCATATCGTGTTGAAATTTTAAACCTTGATTCCAACAAAAAATCAGAATATCGTCTGCAAACTACAAATGATTGACCAAAATATTATCTCTCCTTACAAACCAACCCCTAAACAATTGCAGACAATTTGCTCTTGAGATCAGTTTGCCTAGTACTTTAGCCGCCAAGGTGAACAAAAAAGGAGAGAGAGGGTCACCTTGTCTAAGTCCCCTAAAATCCTCAAGGAAATCATACACTGTCCTATTAATAATAATTGAGTAGTTAGTAGACCGCAGGCAAGCCTTAATCCATTTACACCACAACTCTCCAAATCCACACATCCTCATAATATCAATTAAGAAGTTCTAGTCCACCAAGTCATAGGCTTTTTCCAAATCCAATTTGACAGCCACTCCCCTTCTCTTTAATATTTTTTGAGCCTCCACACATTCATTAGCAATAAGAATTTGGTCAATGATCTACCTATCCCGCACAAATCAATGGGGGGGATCACTTTCTTAATCCTCAATGACAACACTTTTGCTATAACCTTATAAATGCTTGTGATTAGACTAATAGGTCTAAAGTCTACGGGCCGTATAGCATCGTTCTTCTTTGGAATCTACGCTGAAAAAGTAGTCTTCAACCCCACATTGATTACCCCCATTCTATGGAATTCAAAGAAGACTCTGAAAACATCTTTGATTATTATCCCAACAATTTTGATAGAATGCCATGTTGAATCCATCAGGCCTAGGGGCTTTTGATCTATTCATAGAGAAA